TGGTAAATCAAATAAAGGATCGGTTGTCATTTCCATCGCAGTTTCTGTAACATCACTTGAAGAGCTAGTCGATTCTGGTATTTCTTCGAGACTCCAAGATTCTGGTGCTTTTGGAATAGTCAGTTGTCCACTGTGTTTGACAGGTCTTAAAGCTGATGCAAAATTACAGTACTTAACCGTATGTTTAGACTTCGGTCCAATTCCTTTAATATTCGTGAGGTAAACATAGCGGTCTGTAACATGGTCTTTAAGTTCACTCCAAACGATTGGCACTCCCAATACACTTGTGTCAATGTTTTTTCTTATCCTCGAAACAGTTGCTAAAGTAAAAAATTTGCATAGCGATTCGCGTTTAATGTCTTCAATTGACTCAAAGTGGTTTTTCCGGAGCGGTCGTTTGAGTTTGCTGAACAGTCAGATGTCACAAGGATCTAAATTAGGCGAATACTGTGCTCGCGGTGTATTATCGTCGACGGTGTATTATCGTTGAGCAAACACCGAGAGTTTTCAGCCCATAATTTCGGCTTTTTTTTAGGAATAGCTTCGCGCAAACGACGCCTAACACGATAATACATATATGATAGAGAAAAGCCTAGTGGAAAGTTAACCCCATTATATCCACTTTTAGGACCAACACACATTATTACCAGAAACAACGTTCTCAACGCTTCATTGTTTAAAGATTTATCGCTATTTGCCATAAAAGTTCAGCCATAGGCATTAAGGTTCACATATTCGGTATCTGGTGGCGTGCCATATTACGATACGATCTATTTGTACAAAGTTTTTTTTCCAAAAACTGCATTATAGTTTGATTTGTATACTGTAAAGTGAAGGAATCAGATGAGGTCTAAAATTTTTTAATATGGAAAGTAGACGTGGTTGTATACCGATTTCGTATATTTTTACGATACAAGATAAAGAGGTCAGGAGAGTACTCATGTAGTAATTTAAAATTTGAAATTTTTTAAGTAGTTCCTGTATTATTTTTTAACCTCAATCAAACTAAAGTGRGCAGCCTAACAGAAAGTGCTCGCCTTGCTCCACACAAATTTATTGGTAGAAGTGGATGAAGGCTTTCATGAAGAATTTTGCAATTTTCAGAAAAAGTACATAGGTTTAAGCAGTTAATAAWGAAAACATTGATAATCAAACACTCTTTAACTCTCAAGGCTAGCGCACAGCTATCTCAAGGCYAGTATTGCCGGTCTGCTACCGGAGCTAATGCTCATCTCTCTGGAGCAGGCTGCACTTCAGAGCAGATCATCTGCTGTTACTTTGCAGCTAACTCACTGAACATTCAAGTAGTCTGGTAGCCAAAAACTAGCTTCATAAAAACAATGCCATGTTTCGTCACAGAATAATTAAAATCATTAAGTATAATTACTAGTACGTGAATAACCCGCAACACTAATTATTTATACTATATATTTATTTTATATGAGCCCCTTTCATGTTACGACGACCATGTGTGATTTAAGAAATTTTGGTTAGAAACCGAGAGAACTACAATAAGTCGTTAAAGTGTGGAAAATTTAGTGCATTTTATTCAAATTAATTTCTAAWGAAATTTTCTAGTTCCAGAAATCAAGAAACAATAAAAACAAGTAATTAGAGTGGAACCGAACATTTTGTAAGCTTGCRACTTGCAAAAACCAAAGCTAGCGGAATACCTTAAGGTGTAAAAAATCAGCCAAAAGATTGGAATTCAAGCAATTTTATGTATGTATGTATCCATATACTATATAAAACTTATACATTGAGCGTCATATTTCGACAAAACCTTATGTATAATCATGCCACATACTAAAAAATGTTTTCTGGGWTTCATTAAGGTATCTCACATACAATCACCTATCATATGGACTAAAGTCAACCGAAAGTTCGAACATCTGTATTTTAGGTACATATAAAAGAGCTAATACTTCCCACCCGTTTTAACAATTTTTTTACCCATATCCAAACTATGATCAGGAAAGAATTTTCTCTGTGCATTTCAATTATATATGTATCTCACATATTGACCGATATTTTCGTCAAAAGTCATCCATGGGTATTGAAGTCCACATATTCGGTACATAGGGACTTGAACAGTGTTAGGTCGTTTTGGACAATTTTGAATCATAAGGTGGCACGCACTAAAGATATTATTCGTGCAAGGTTTTATRMCGTTATATTAATTTCTTATTGATTTGTGTACTGGAAACTGAAAGAATCAAAATGTTGGTATTGCAATCAAAATGTTTAAGTGGTTTTGGTTGATGTGGAGGGTTGCAAATTAAATTTTAAAAACTAAATATGTAAAAAAACAGCCTTTTTCAATAATTTTTTTTTTTCCTCATACAAAAAATTAAATATTTTATTTTTATAAACATACACTATTAGCAAAGAAGTTCTGAAATGTTTGGAATCAAATATTTTCAACTCAGCCATTGCGACGCYRTTT